CTACTATTTTCCCATCTTTTTGGATTCTACAAACAAACAAAAAACTTTGTTTTAACTCTAGAAGATCTTCTCTTTGCCTTATCACCAGCTCCTATATGATTTTCCAATTTTTATAGTACATTCATATACGAATTTGTATTCAATTTGTAGTAGATTTTTATAGTAGATTTTTAACCAAATTTGTATTCAATTTGTTTTTATTATATAATATACTGCCTTTTGTAAAAATATTAATATATTTTGATGAAAATATCTACTTGATTACTACAAAGCTTTTTTTTTGTCAACAAATCAAATACAAAGTTTTCTTAAGGAAAATATTTTTCCAAGATTTTCCTCTTGACTTTTTATTTGCGTGATTTATAATGTCAAAATATAAGAGACATTAAAATGTAATTTAAATCACCCAACATAGCGAGTATGTGTGGATGTATGTACGATATGCGGCATATGGCCAAAGGAATATTTCTATGATAATTTGGATACGAACTCATTTTCATAAACTTTTTTAGAAATTTTGGATGCTGCTAAATGCTAATGGTGATGTTGGATGGAAAATATAGAAATTGCATCCAAAATCTTCAAGAAATCAAAATTTCATATTTTATGATGCTAATGGTGTATTTTGATGCTGCTAATTTTTGTGGTAAAAAATGTTAACTCATGATTTTGTGTCTATGTTTATTTATTTATTTTTAAACAATCATAGATTACTGTTTGGTGCCACAATTGTGAAATTAGGATTTTATCCCTGAACTGTAAACTTGCTAATCATAATTTTGCAATTTGATGTCAAAGCTCCATAATCAAATTTTTACGCCAACGTCAAATATTGTGAAGTTGACTTCAATTTCCTTAAAAAGAATAATTGATGACAAACAAGTTATGCTAAGGTGAGGGTCGCCTTAGAAGACATCCTCTCAGGCTCAACAACCGTCATTTGTTTTCTCCGCCGCTCGTCTCACCTGAGAGCCAGTCCTCACCCTTCGTTCGTAGCTGTGCTTTTCCGACGAGAACTTTCTCACTCCCTCCACCTCTGTCCCCCATGGTGTTCTTCTCTGCTCCATCGTGTTTAACCATGAATCCACTCTCGGCGCCGTCTCTCTAACTTCCGGACGTTGACTCGTCCGGCGACCTCGAACCCTCTGGATCCTCCCCCACTGTTTATAGATCTGAAGCCGACGTCCGAGTTTCTCTCTCGCTTACTCGTGATGATTCAATCGAGTCTTCTCCTTCTTCCAATATCGCCTCTGTACCGGCGAGTTCGTCCATCGAGGTCAAGCAGTATCACAGTCGAGTCACTCCAGAAGCCTCCCAAAGTCTGAGCGGCACCAGATCGGGGGTCTCTCCGGAGTACTCTCGAAGGCTTATCGCCTTATCTCTCGGTGGTTTTCCCCTCCGTATCCACCTCCGAGTCTCAGTGTATCATTGCTTTTCTTCGGTTGTAGCCGGAGGTAACTATACCGGCAAAGCTCCACCGCTGCCTTGCTCGCCGGAAAAAGATAGCCAATGCTTCGTGTCCCAAAGCCACTCAACCATCCACCGTAATGGATTGATGTTGGATGTGGGCCTTTGTGAAGTGTAAATGGGCTTGTTAAAGCCAAATTCGTGGAGGCCCAAATTGAGTATATTTCTCCCTAACTTTGGCCTAGCTTCCATGTCCCCAAAAATTGGAATTGCAAAAATCTTACATCCTTTTGAACTTGTTGGTTTCTCTTTTTTTTTTAAATCCAAAGTTTTTTGGATTCTCAAATCTTGTAATATTTTCACTCTCATTGAGAGCAGTCGTATCTTCACCTTTTTCTTTGAGAGTGAGTGTTTTTCCGAGCTTTACGCTGGAAACCCCTAAGAATTTCATCACCGATTTGTTTTCTTGTGTAGCCGTATTTTTTGGACCAAAAGAAGCAACCGGTCTCGTCTTGTCGTTTACCGGAGGTAGGAGTTCGATTTCAACGTCACATCTGAAAGTGACCACTTTGAAGACTTCCAGTTTTGCCGAGAAAACCTTTTTGACGCATTCGAGGCGCGCCTTGGTTCGCTGTCGATGAATTATCTATCTTACTAGATTTTTGTCCCGCGTCAAACGCATAATTATAATATTTGAAAATCAAATGGTATATCTTTCATGTAGATGAATATCTTTTATCTTATAAAATTTAATTTGCATGACACTTAGATTGAATGTAAGCGCTTTTAATGTAAATTGAATATGTTTGAGATTATGGATTCTCTCAACCTTATTTGAGCTCATCAAACCCAAAAAATATCGTGTTAGTATATAAATATTCTTAGATAAAAAAATAAAATAAATAATAAAATGTGAAAATGATGATTTTCGAAATTCAACCATTACCGTTAATTCGTAAAGTTGTATGTTTATAACAAAAGCGCAAATTTAGTTAGAGTAATATAGATACAATTAAACGATATAAAAGAAAATAATTGTATGATATATAAATATATTTTTTACAAGGTAGTTAACATCGGTAAATGATTCATCATTAAAACATCATGTTATAGAACGTTTAAATACTAAAATGTTATATTTTAGTTGGATTAAAATTAGTAACATATGTAATTTTGAGATCATGCTAAAAAATTAATATAAATATGTAGAGATTTCCAACATGGTATATATAATTAATTAAAATATTTTCATTGATTTAATTAATATGTCCCTTGAAATCCTCATTGAGTGACACATATAATTTTTTCACTTAGTGTCTCCTCAATTAATATATAGAAGATGTTTAATTGAGTTTCGATTATGTTGTATTGTGGTTAGAGGATGCTTAATTCTCTCTCTTTATATTGTGAAATATTAATGAATGAAGTAAGATTGTG